TCTCTTTCATGTGCTCAGAGATGACCTAAGTCACGCATATATGATATACAAAAAACTTCAAACCTCATCTAAGCACTGCAAAGTCTTAAAATCAGTTATGGAGGCTCCTAATAAAATTCTCATTTGCTCAGAGGGTCCCTTCACAGTCCATTGTGTGATTTATTTCAGGTTCTTTTGGCCATCACTATTGACTCTGCTGCTGATGTATTGCATTGCACCTGATCACCAAAAGCTTGCTGGCAGGCCAGGCCGCACTTACACCCACCTAAGCTGCACCAGCTTAGTAGTAAACAAGCACAACATGCTACATGTTTGTTCAAAAATCTTAATTTGCTTTAGAATTCAAGTTACTGTCATCACTTTTTTTGCCCCTAGACACCAGACCTGTCTCTTCCTATATGCCACTGAATAACTAAAGAAATTCTGCCACAGCTTAAAAGGTAATTTTTTTTTTAAATCTCCAATTTCTGCTATTTCATTGCTTTAGAAGAAAGCTCAAACTTAGGAGTATCTTCAAAATTGGCAGTAACTGCTAGAAATGTAATTTAAGCATGCCAACTGTCAGTCTGCACTGGCTGTGGGACGCAGATTGGAATAATAAATTTTACCAATTCAAACTTTTCCTCATGATTCTGAGTAAGTTTACTAAAGATGAGCTTAGGATGACTTGACACAATTGTATGGCAAAGTTAACAGTAAAGATTACAGTCTTATTCCATTATTGCTTCCTACATTTTAGATTTTAACCCAGTGAGCTCCCAATAAAAATCAGATATCCTTTCAGGAGTATTAAGTTTACCATCTTTTATTCATAGAATCATAGAATCATACGGGTGGGAAGGAACCTCGAAAGATCATCTAGTCCAACCCCCCTGCCAGAGCAGGACCACCTAGAGTACATCACACAGGAAGGCATCCAGGCGGGTTTTGAATGACTCCAGTGAAGGAGACTCCACAACCTCTCTGGGCAGCCTGTTCCAGTGCTCCGTCACCCTCACAGTGAAAAAATTTTTCCTGATATTCGCCTTGAACCTCCTATGCTCCAATTTGCACCCATTACCCCTTGTCCTGTCACAGGTCAACACTGAAAAAAGCTTAATTCCATCTTCCTGACACTCACCCTTTACATATTTGTTCTGAACTTCTCTGCAACTGTCTCTCAATTCCAGCTAAATCTCCATTTCTGACACCTAAGTCACGTGTTGGAACAGTTGTTCAAAGCATTGGAACGTTCTTAGAAGCACAGCCTGTTTTGATTACCCTTCCTCAACTACTTTTTTTCATTATTTTGAACTATTGACATGCAAATTACGGTTGCATAGCATGATTACAGTATTGGTTTGCAAGAGCTGAAACAAGTAAAAAAACTGAGAAGAAAACAGTGAGACAATGTCAAGCAACCTGGCAGTCACGTCAGCACTTTGCAATGGTCAAACTGCTTTTAGACATTATGGAAAAGGAAGTTTTATGGAGATATCTGAAGGAAAACACACAGTTTGGGTGACTGTACGAAGAACTTCTCAAGGACGGGAAAAGTTTTCACAAGGAGCTTTCTATAAAAACTACAGAGAATGGTACCAGAAGCAGGAAATTACCTTCATCAGTAAATATGAAATAATAAGATAGGTTGAGGACTCTGGGTTTTGATGTTCTAGCCATGAGATGTTCCTAACTGGACTGCATAAGAGATAAGGCACATCTCTATCAGCTTCAGTCATGAATAAAATCTGATTTGCTAGGACACCGGTTCTTTCTCCTCCCTACTTCCCTCTACTCCACAATGTTTTTTCCTTCATTTCTTAGTTCTCTTACTTTCTGCACAGAGCAGAGTTAAAAGTTCAAGTCCGCCAGAACTTAGCCTTCTAAGATCACACACTTTCTCTGATAAACAATGAAAACAAAAAAGGTAACTGGATGTGGTGATTCCTCTCTTTGTTCCTGTTCTCTCTTCCTTTTCTTCGAGAAGTATAGTGTATCAGATGTTAAAAACAGAGGGCAAAGAAAAAACCTTGCACAAAGTAATGCATTTTAACAAGTTCGTTCTTCCCACCCTGGAGACAGGGGGACAGGCAAAATGATCTGCACCAAATGAAAGATGCTAAAGAAATTTCACTTCCCTGAAGATACTTTCTGCAATGAAAAGGGGTAATGAACGACGTGCAGCTAAAGGACTTAACACTTTACGACCTATATGCTCCATTTTTCTTACAATAAAAGACTAAAGCAATTCCAAGGACCATTATTCATGGGACTCAGAACACTAAGCACTCCATACTCAAAATCCTAGAGTTTCTTTACGTGTTTGATATGAAATTGTAAAAAGATTGCATTCACAAGATCCTACATGCCAAATCTTTTCACTGATATGACTGGAAGAAAAAGGGGAAACTAGGAGATCAATAGCCATATTTAACTTCAGATGACAGTATTTAATTGGTCATTTATAAAGTGCAGATGTGTGCCCCTGTTAAGATCTTACCCTAGGGAAATAAACTAGGAGTAGGAAAACTACTCATATATATGCAAGTCCACTTGTTACTTACAAGTATAGAAACAGTAGGTAAATTTACAACTGCTTCTTGCTCTGGGATTCAAGTCATAATTAAAAAACAAACAAAAACGATCAAAGAAACCTGAAGCCCAAAAAAGAAGTGCTTCAATCACCAGGACAAAACAAAAGGGGAGAAACAGATTGAAACTGTTGTGGAGAGAGGAAAAACAAACCAACAAAAAGTTGTAGGGTTGTTCTGACCCTGAACTGGTACATCATGTTACCCGACTGGTGCACTTTCATCTTCAGCTACAGAATCCCATCTGCACTGTTACTGTAGGCAGAACAGTGTGCACAGAACCCTTCATACCTATCACTTACCTTTCGAACAATACTGTCTTCTACGTTAGACTTCTTGTTGCTGCCCTGCTTGCCCATTAAAGTGATCTCTAACTGACAAAATGGCTTGGGCAAAATATCGCACTGCGTGAAGAACTTGCGCCACTCCACTATGTAGGCTTTCAGCAGCGCCGTGTCGTCCTGGTGACTCAGCACTCTCTGCAGGAGGGGGGAAGAGCAGGCAATGGATAACAAATTTCTCCACAACAGTTGAGCTGGTTTGGCTTATACTGAAAACAACTCACCATATAAATTTCAAATGTACAGATACATCACAGTAAGAAAATCTGCATATTTAAGTGCCATTTAGTTTAGGCAAGGAATTATCAGCTCGTGGGGTATGGACTGTTTCTAAAGGGTAAAGAAAGGTAACAGCACTCAAGTAGTCAGTAAGTTTAAATATTCCAAATTAATCATGATTTGCTGTTTTTTTGTGTTTTTGTTTTTTTTTTTCTTTTTAAATCATCTGCGAGTCAAAAAGATTAAAACCTTTTGTCTAAAGGTATGTACTGGCACAACCGTGTCTAAAAAAATAAATGTTAAACCTCTGAGGACTACGTTATATTCTGTACAGTAATAAGTTTAATTCAATGGCATCTGCTAACCTTTCAGCTAGTTAACATGTATTTTATTAAAGCCTGGAAACAACAAGTACGTTGTACAATGGCTATCATAGTGCCTAAAAAGATGCCTCTCAAACAACAGCCAACCCAGACCATACTGAAGACCTCAATTCAGCACAGCATTTATGCATGTAAAGCAAGGAAGCTGATGGAACTTAAAAATCAACATTTATATGCCTGGTTATACAAAGAGCTCCATAAGAAACTGTTATTCTTTACGCAAAGACTTAGTGGTGTAAATCTCTTCACTGAAGACTTTATAGGCTTTCATTTTCTCCTTTCCAAACCTTTGCCACAGGATTTTATTTTTTTTTTTAATTTCACAACAACCCCGTCTTAAATCCCTTATTACAGAAAATATTTTTTGCTATACATTTTACAAACACCAAAATTTCCTTTGAATCTGTTGAAGACTTCAATTGTTTAGGATGAAGCCCATGAAACTGGACAGCTAAGCTTGTCGGGTCGATAAGATGGGCATTTCTAGTGTGCCATACCCATGGCTTATTTTAAAGCCATCCATGCACATGTCAGCATACCACTGAAGCTAAGTAAACATCTTTTTCCAGACAGCAATTTCTTATAGAAAATTTTGCCTCAAGAAGTTTTCAAATAGAAGAAGATTCTATAAGCACTGTTGGATAAACAAAAATAATGCTGTTTTAGGGTTCTTTTTTAATGCAACACAAAAATCATTGCTCACCCCAGTTTCAAGGACTGTGAGAAAACAATGAGCCAAGGCAAATGCTCAAGGCTAAGTCTTCTTTTTGTCAATAGAAGTTCACAGGGTAATTACAACCTCTAGAACATCACAGAATTTCAAACAAAAAAGCAAATGCATTTAAATCCAATGAAAGTCAGAACTATTTGGTTATTTTTCTAACAATATGAATAGAAGTTATGAAACATTAAGAACTTACTGCTTGTGCCTGTTTAATAAAATCAAGGATGTCTTCCTTCAGAGCCTGATGGATTTTTGCTGGACCTTTATCATCCCACAAACAAACTGCGTGTACATCTCTAGAAAACAATTTATCCATCTTTTAGCAACAGCTGCTCAAAGTTTAATGCTGTCCTGTATGAGGCTTAAACAATCACAATTTAAGTATGTCTAAGCAATTAATCACTTTTGATTTATCACTGTCAAACATTACATAGATCTCAGTGACACAGGCAAGAAAGTATCTTTGGAAGATACTGAAATTACAAGAAAGCCTTGAAAGCAAGTAACAACAAGCTATCTGGGAAAAGGCTGTGGGCAAAGAAGGAGATGCAGAAACTGAATCTGTTTTTGTTATCTATTCAAATAGCGCTTACTGCATTAAGGACAAGTCTTAAAATTTTTCTTTGACAAAGAAATCACTTGCCAGTAGTTTTGCTTCTCCATCCACATTATTCTAAAATACTCTCAGTAACATGCAGCTTTCTCTCACAGCTTCACAATCCAAGCACTACAACATCCTTGTTCTACAAAGGAAACAGACTTTCCTTGTAAGAAATTTGAGCTCAAGGGCATTCAGTAATTTAAAAGATGTTTTAATGAGGTGACTTAAACATTTCATGACAGCTGTAGCATTTTAAAGTGAAACTCTACTGCAGAAAAGCAACCAAACATCATCATAAAGCAAAATGCTATTAATGAGTTTTAATCCACATTCAAATAATTTCCTTCTTTTCCTAGCTGACTGCCCAGCAAGGGTAACTTAATTCCTACTTTCCATACTAAATAAAGCAAGTTCTCCTCCTAACCTTACATCGTATATAATGGGGCCTAGCAAGCCTTTTTTTGTCTCATTACCTTCCTCTGGTTCTTCCTCCTCCTTTCAATAATCAGGCCACACCTTTTGCAGGAAAGCAACTATATCGTTTAACAGTACGACTCTGTTCTACTGAAGCAATATTGTTATTCAAATACAAAAGCATCTTTTTTAGTTGTCAAAAGACAAAACTTAGAAGGATAAAAAGATCTTTTGACACAGATCAAAGGTGCTGGCCCAGGATTTACTGAGGCCTACCTAACCTGTGAGTCTCATGCAACTTTCATATGCAGAAAAGGTGTTACTGTATTTAGAATGCCACTTTTTTCCTTATAGCAATGAAAAAAGCAATACTTGATAATTATACTCAAAGAGCAGGTAGAAGACATCTAGAGATTCTGAATTGTTACTAAAAAGCTTAACAAAGAGTAATGTCCAAAAATAGGAACCTCAGAGCAGGATCCGTTCCCTCAATACCCTTAATCTAGCCATAAAGTTACCTAAGTTCTATTCAAAAATTCAGCTACAAAAATAGCAACAAATAGGAAATTTCAGCACCAGTGCAGAATTATTGAACTAGTTACTTAAGATGAAAGCAATGGCTCAGAACTGAATTTGTACCTTAACTATACCATGTTTGTGGCAACTACTACAGCAGAGTCATCACAAGATTTTAAAACTTATTACATGATAAACTACCTTTCCTGCTGGTTGGCAGAAAAGTGTGACAGGTGCAGTAAGATGTCTGTAAAAAGAATCATTGCACTGTCCTCACCAAAAAAGCAATAACTATACAGGTTTCAACAAGACTGTGCTTAAATAAAAACCACTTTTTTAACAGATTTTAAAAATCAGGAGGCGACACTGCAGATTTTTGTTACAACTATATTTGACTGAAAATAACTGTTGAGACAAACACTATTTTCAATATACTTTCAATGTATATGTTGTAAGTGACTTCCATACTATGCTGGCAAAGGTCACATGGTGTATTTTAAGAAAAATATCATCACCTAACAAGAAGCAACTTCTGGCTTTTTGGAAGGACAAAAATGACAAGAGTGTTTAGAAAATGTAATAATGCAAACACTGTCTGAAAAATATTATTTTATATATTAATCTCAGGGTATAAAACTATTCTAACTGCACCAGATGAACTGCATTGCCCTGTTACTTCAACAGCAGTCTTTAAGTTATGTAACATTCGGCAAACTGCCTTCAAATGAACTTGCTGCCCAAACAGTAAACAACGTTTTCTAATTCTAACAAAAGGTTTGTGGGCAGGTACAAAACTTGTTTACTATGATCAGCTGAAGCCCAAAGCTCCGCTGTTCTTTCTCCATCCTATTTTCACAGATCTCATTCTCAACAAACCTCTACTTTTGCACATTTAAAGTGATGTAGGCACACTTACCACTTAACAAAACCTTAACTAGTGCTTTTGTTCTGCATTTTCCCACATAGTCCATGTCATACATGACTTCTGGATCAGAACTGTTGCCACAACTGTACTCCCATTATGCAGAAGGATACAAAATACTACAAAAACTACTTACGAAAACAGATCAAACCATTGCTGTTTTGTGACAGACTCCTGACGAAGAAGTTTCAGAACGATAGGGCGCATGAAATCCCATTTGTCTTCAAACTGAAGAGAACCTTTATTCTAAAAGAAACAACAACAACAAAATACCGTTAATAAAAGAGTTTCTTATTTAAAGTTACCTGTAACGACTGCAGTTTTTACGGTTGATGTTAAAGTATCTTCTCAGAGGTGTCTCTCACCAAGTATTGTTTTTCAAAGTGACAGGGCTATTATTTGTTTCTTAGAGGAGTAGGTTGCCAGCTTCTTCCTTTATACACCACATTAGCTACAATGCAACAAGTTCTAGCACTGATGACATGAATGATGCTGGGTCAGCTTCCTTGCCCCTGCCAAGATACGTGCAAGCGAAGTCCTGAGGCCGCCTTGCAGATTTGTCTTGAATAAATTGCCACTACCAAATCCAGCAGCCAGGAATCAGAAGCAGTACCTGCAGATGCTGCCACATGTCTTTTTTTCTCCCCACTGTGTATTTGGCATCACCAGCAAAGAGGGAGGAAGGAAGCAGAGTAAGGTAGGAGCCATTGTATCACAGACTCCCTTCCTGTGGGTTAACTGGCCATAGGCTGTTTGACAAACCAGACTATAGCTGATACAGATAAACGTGATTTACACTGTGCTGAAAAATCTAATTCAAGGTGATTTTTTTCCAAATTTGTGATACGAATTAGGAGGAAAGCTAAAGAAACTAAGCACTCCCACAACATTCTGGTTATTCTGAAAAAACTCACCGTAGTATACAGGCTGACTTCCACTATTAAAACCAAAACAAACCCCACAAACTTTGAGAGAAAAACAACAGTTCTACTGCATATGTTCTAACCTTATTTGATTACAGCTCTGCATTTTAGAAAGAAAAACCTGCAATTCAGAGAAACATTGATTTAGAGTTCTGTGGCAAAAAGACTACCGGTTGAGTTACCCGCAGTGCTATGTTCTAATGCACTGCTTACTTTTCAACAGATCACTGTCTTGGCTAGCATCACAGAATGGTGGGGGTTGGAAGGGACCTCTGGAGATCATCTAGTCCAATGCCCCTCCTAAAGTAGGCTTTCCTAGATCAGATTGCACAGAAATGTGTCCAGGTGAGTTTTTAAAGTCTCCAGAGGAGGAGATTCACACAACCTCCCTGGGCAGCCTGTTCCAGTGCTCACAGGAAAGAAGTTTTCCCTTATGTTTAGGTGGAACTTCCCACGTTCCAGTTCATGCCCATCACCCCTTGTCCTATCACTGGGCACCACTGAAAAGAGTCTGGCCCCATCCTCTTGACAGATTCCCTTTAAGTCTTCATCAGCATTGACAAGATGCTCTCAGTCTTCTCCAGAGTAAACAGGCCCAGGTCTCTCAGACTCTCCCCATAAGAGAGATGTTCCAGTCCCCTCGTCATCTTTGTAGCCCCCTGTTGGACTCTCTCCAGTAGTTCCCTGCCTCTCTTGAACTGGGGAACTCAGAACTGAAGACAGTACTCCAGATGTGGCCTCAGCAGGGCAGAGTGGAGGGAGAGCAGACCCTCCCTCAACCTGCTGGTCACATTCTTCTTAAGTAATATTAGAGTTGAAAGAGTTCACTTCAAATAACAGCAAGTAATATAGCCTAACCACTTAAAATTCTGACAAGCACACTGTTCTGACACTAACATCTCTCCAGATAAACAGCAGCACAAGTAGCACATCAACTTCTCTCAGCCATTTCCTGATTAATTTCTATGTGGAAATTTACAATTAAATCTGTTATTTAACATTCAGAATAATCAAAGTATGAGAAGTGTATCCCTTGCTGCTCTTAAGTGTCAAGCTGTCTCATCTTCAAGTTATAAAAGATGCAACAGGCACCACAGTGACTATTTTTACAGCCACAGCACCTGCAGGTCTCACAGCATTATCAAACCACTGTGGCAGGTACTGAATACAGGTCTCATGGAAGCAGTTCCTTTTGAATAAGGTTTAGAATTCAACATTAAAAAAACAAAACAAAACACCACATTTTCCAAGAGACAGTTTTGCCTGTGTTTTTGAAAGACCTGCTGCTGAACAGTTAATAGTTCCAGAAAAGACATTATAAAATCAGTAAAATCAACTTCATCGAAGCTTTCCTTTGGAGCAGAACTTCATAATAGAGCCTGTAAGTTTTCTGGAGGAGGTAAAAAGTCTGTTCTGCAATTCTGGAGAAGGGCAATTCCACCCTTTGCTGAAATCAGCAGATGATAAAACCAAAATGCTCCATCTTAGTGGAGAAGACTAGTTGCACCGTAGGATATCGGGGGGGGAGAGGGAATTGCAAATACTACTATTTATATGACTTAGATTATGATTACCTAGTTCATGCCAAGAAGCACCTATAAAACCCCATTTCAGTTGCCAAAACTACATGTCCACTTGTAATGAACACTTACATCCTTAAAAAGAATTCCCCAAACAAAGCTTGGCAGAAAATGCCATTAGGGAAGTTCAGAACTTTGTTTTCTATACACAGGAGTAAATTATTTTTTTTTTTTTTTTACACTTTTCCCTCTATTCCTAAATTAAGCAAAAGAGGAAATAAAATTAACAGACTAAAAATTTCACTCCAACTTAATTTTCTTCAACTTCAATAAACAATTCAACATTTTATAGATAGATTCAAGCTTCCATGACCATTAATCTTATTTACACTCTTGGACTGCGATGTAAGCGGGTGCATATCACCATCTACTGTATGTCATTCACTTAGTAATTCTACTCCTTTTGAAGAAAACCAAATTTTACAGTAGAAGAGGAGAGCAACAGTGGCAATTCTTAGTTGTTACTGAACTCACACATACACCTGTGACAACAGGTCAGACAACAGGTGACCTCAGACAACACAAGGAATCCATTTCCCACTTTGCTGAGCCACTCACAAACCTATGCAACTTCTGAGCAAAATTTCCTGGGTAACTTCTCATCCTCAGCTTGCTGCCTCAAACCACCTATTTCAAGAGAAGGTAAGCAGGAAGGTAAATCACACCTTTGATGAAATAAAATTACTCCATTTATCAAATCTTCTCTGAAAACATGGATTACAATTGACAGCCATACCCTGGCTAAGTAACCATTCTAAAAGTTTAAAATTTAAGGCTTTGAAAGATAACTCAACTTACAAAATACTTTGTGTTTCAGAAATTGCTTCACTAAATTTGTTCACAAAGGTTTGAATTTCCATTCTAACACTAAACTCTACTTGAAATACATACTGCACGCTATATTGACATATAGATTACAACTTTACTCTCCAGGCTTACTTTTTTCTATTCTTCACTTCTACTCAGAAGCATCAAAACACATTATTTCAGGGCAGCAGGTAACTAACCTCCCAGCCCATGTCAGTGGATATCAGGTAGAATCAGTACAAAGATGCAAGTGGAACGGTTCCACCAAACGGTATTCCTGATTTGGGTATTACCACACAACACAAAACTCCTCTCCTTAACTCCAAGGATGTTCATGAGAAGTGCAGCAGAAGCAGGCACAGACTGTGGCATAAGAGCACAAATAAACACGGAACACGAGGAGGCAAGGCCACGTAACAAGACCTCCATGTTACTGTCCCTGTGAACCTTGAAATGTCTCTATGTGCTGCAGTAAGCTGAGGTGCTTTCTGTTGCAGGAACTGCAGAGACACTCATCTCTCTTCACATCATGGGAGTGAACTGGATTAGATTATTTTGTCACTGCAAAAGGAACAGACTATAAATCCAAGACACCCCCTGCAACAAAGCAACCCACTTTAAAAGTGACAGTCACACATACGTTGAGAGCTTCAGGGGACTCACCCAGCAATGGCTCAGTCACCTACAGGAAAGCCACGACCTCACTACGGGAGAGCAGTTCTGCTCCAAGCAGGGTACATGCAAGATAACCAGGCAATTGCTCCTTCTTGCCAAGTACTTCAATATTTTCATCACAATTTGTTGTATCTCACCAGGATTCGAGATACGACTTTCTACATATGGTCATTCTAACTTAACATTTAAAGAAGGCTCTCTGAGAATATGCTTCTCACCAAAAAATAAATTAGGGAAACTATGCACCAGTGGGGTTTAAATAAATGATGCCCTTTAAAATTATTACAGCCAGTCAGATTTGGATTCAGCTAGCATGTTTCTTGAATAAGAAAATAATATTTCACTTCATTTTCTCAACAATGTAGAAAGTCAAATGAAGATGGGGAAAACCAGACAAAACTCTCAGTTCCTGTTTATCCTAGCAAACCCAAGACCTGTCTAAACCTAACTTAGATTTGATTATGCAGGCTTATTTGGAAAAGAGATTAAAAAAGGTTACAGATTTTATCACCTCTCCTTTCTTGCCCAGGGATTCTTACTGTGTTACATTTTGCAGCCTCAAAGTGCATGAGGCACTGTCAGTCAACACTAACCTGGAAGCAACAGCTTGCTGCTCTGAGAGCCCTCCTGATGGGCAGAACTGGGGAACAGGAGACCTCACCTAGTTCCAATTCTTGCACTGGTTTATTATGTCATTATAAACTAAGTCAAACCACTGTATAATATTTCCTTCTGTAATCCAGGACTCTTCCTTTATTGTCTTTGGAAAACTCATTGATTAGTAAGCTATAGTGCTTAAAAACACTCCAAGTGAGCATAGAGGCCCATTTTAGAATGGGTATTTCTGTAGCATTTTTCCTAAAACCCACTGTGCATATATATCTTACTGTCAATATAAAATATTAATGATTCAAAGACCAGCTGCAAAAACTTGACTAGTCAACACGAGGGCCTCAGTTTAGCAAGAGCCAGTTTGTAGAATCAAGGCCTTTGACTCTATTTTCACTTACTGTACACCTACTATTCTTTCAAAATAGCTGGAGTGGAATGCTGACAAACCTCACAAGCCGATGTTTCTTCCCTTTACTACAGGCTCTACAACCACATGTCTCATCAGAGCACGCATCTGTCTTTCCAGAGATCCTTAAACACACAGCAAAGAGATGGACTAAAACATTAGCAAGCAGATAAACTATCTGAGCCCTCCTGTAAAACCACACTCTTCCACAAAAAGCCCATTTCTTCTTATAAGACATTATTT